AAAACTTAAGCTACCTCAGCAGGAAGAGAAAGGGGGTGCGTCGACCCCATCACTGCGAAGCCCAAAGACCTGTGCAGCACGCTCTCGTGGCGTGTTAGGTTCAGAGACCCCGATGCTGACCTCACGGCCGTTTCTTTACGTGTCTTGGTTCTCTCTTCTCTGTGTATTAGTTCCATTTTCAGTCACACTCTTGTCACCTGACTGGAAAATTGGCCACAGACAGCCACAGGCCACATTCTTACATGGGTGTTTTAAAAGAAAGTTGCTCCCCTTTTCCTTCATATCCACATGTCAAGCCTTAGGGAAGACTCTGGCCCTGTTTGAGTCATGTGCCCATCCCCGAACCCATCACCGAGCTCTGGAGATGGGCCAGCTCAGGTCACGCACCCATATTTGGCTGGGGGTGATGGGGCACCAGGATTGGCACCCCTCCAGGGCCCCAGGGAGAGCAGAGTAGTGATTCTCCAAAGAGGGGAATGCCGAGAAAAACAAACAAACAAAGAAACAAACAAACAAACAAACAAACAGAAAGGAATGCCGAGGAGACAACAGACATCCACTACAACCCCCGCCTCCTCCCGCTGCAACCCCACCTGGCCCAGCATTTTGACTAGAGAATTTGCTATCTCCTCACCTTTCAAAGACTTACTGTGTTAGGAGATTAAAGATGCTGGGCTTTTCCCAGAGGGGATGCATTTCTGTGAGCACTGATTTATTATTAAACCTTTTAGACATGTTGCCTGTTGTTTTATAAAATTCTCATTGGTGATTATCGGAAGAGAAGCGGTACCATTCTTCTCAAATATGTCAGCCTGTCTGGGAAAAGTCCAACCATTATTAATATAATGAGAATGGTTTGCGTGACACTGATATAACTAACTGGGCAGCCGAGGCGAGTGGACTGGAATGCGCATGCGTGAACAATGACGCCTTCACTGCACTGGTCAGTGGGGGCGGTAGATGCCATTGAGTAGGCATGTGCACCGTGTGGCTGTCACATTCAAAATGACTGAGTGAGTAGAGCAATGAACTGCATCAAATTTTATGTTAAGCTTGAATATTCTTCCACGGAAACTATTCAGATGATTCAGAAACCTGCAGCTGTGGGCAACTGCTGATTGGCAGCTTCCTCAAGACAATGTGGCCGCTCACTCATCGTGTCTCATGCAGTTTGTTATGATACATCAAATCACCTAGTGTGGTCTGTCCAGAAGGTATCCAGCCATGTAATATGAAAAACAGAGATATTTATTGAAGAAGATACAAGATACAAGAAACACTGTACACAGGACAATGACACCTCAGTGCCCTTCAAAGTAGGCACCTTGGGACCTCACACAGTTCTCCCAATTGCCATCAGCTGCCCCATCATATTCTCCTAAATCTCATCGATGATCTGAAATCTCTTCCCTTTCAAAGGTCATTTTAGTTTTGGAAAAGCCAGAAGTCACAGGGTGCCAAATCTGGGTTGTAGGGGGGCTGAGTCACCTAGGTGATTTGACGTTTTGCAAAAAAGACTACATATATATAAAACTTTAGCCCTGGCCGAATAGCTCAGTTAGTTGAGCATCTTTCTGACATTTCAAGGTTGAGGGGTCAATCCCCAGTCAGGGCACACACATAAATCAACCAATGAATGCATAAATAAGTGGAACAAGAAATTAATGTCTCTCTCTCCCCTTCTTCCTTTCACTCTAAATCAATCAATCAGTAAAAATTTTAAATATATATATATATATATATATATATATATATATATATATATATATATATATATATATATTGTGAGAATTCAGTGGTAATGCCTGCCAGAATTCAGAGCCAATTTAAAAAATAAGTAAGTGGATAAATACCTTTAAACCAGAACCCCATTCCTAACTTAAATTACTACCATGCAGCCTCCCTTCCCTTGTTGCCTGACTTTGAACTTTTTCAAGAGGCTCATTTCTCCTGGTCTCTCCTGGCAGGTGTTTGATTGAGCAAGGGAAGAGCAGGATGAAGAAACCATTATAAAACAGGTCTGTGTAATTGGCAGAAAATATAACAGCTAGTCTCAACTTTTTGTTTGATTTTATGATACACTCCTGCCCTTCACCTAAGAATTCTCTGTGATATTTTTTATGAGAAAATCAAATGTTTTTGAAAAACCTGTGATAACTCCATGGATTACCAGGGACACCTGAAAGATGGATGTTGAGACTGGCTTTGTCTGTGCCAGGAGCTGCAAAATCAAACACCCCTAGGGGCGAGGCAGGCCCTGCTAATAAGCTGGCAGTCTGGGTAGAGACTGTGTCAAACTGTGGGTTAATTCCCATCGCAAGGGCACAGCTTCTAGTGGGCTGCAGCCCAGTGTTGCCACTAGGTAGTGCCTGCTGTGACAGATATTAACTATAGTAACTTTCACTAATATGTGGTTTCTTCCTCCTGCATCGTATACCAGAGGACTGAATGTCTCTACCTCTGTGACAATACGAATGGCCATGTGACTTGCTTTGGCCAATGAAATGTAAGCTAAAGTGACAAATGTCATTCCAGGAGGAAATATGTAAGTGTTGGCACCTGGCCCCCTCTCTTCTTCTCCCTCTCCCCCCACCCCCCGTTGTGACCGTGGTTGCAGTTGCTGGTAGGGAGGTTCCACACTGAGTCATCACCTGCAGGGCAGCTGTCCTGCACAATCCCCTTGATTCACAGCTGTCTCGTGTGGGTGGGAAATAAAACTTGCTCTTGGTAAGCCACTGAGTTTTGAGAATACTTGCAACTTTAGCCTAACCTATCTTATTTTAACGATGGCATGTTGCCTGAGTGATTGTTTTCAAGAGAAGTTAGAGATTTAGACTTTTGTGTAAAATCTTTGATAGGTTAAAAAAAAAAAGAACTTAAGGTTGAACCAACAAAGCCAAATGCAGCCTGCCAACTACCAGTCCGCAGTCTGGGGTCTGCGCAGGTTGAGTAGAGGATGGGTTGGTCAGTAAGTGACTGATGTTTCTACGTGCGGCGACCCTGTCTAAACTCTGACGGGTTTTAGTGTCTGACACATATCAGCTCTCAGTTACTCCTGGTCAGTTACGTGCTGTTCATTAACATTCAGGTCAATTTCCTCACTAGGTGGGAGGTGGGGACAGGTAAGGAATCATGTCTTCAACTTTGTGTACCCAGGCACATAATAACATTTCAATAAATTAGTATAAAGACTAGTTAATTACTCAGAATTACCATTTCCTCCTTTGATAGTGGAAGAACACCTTGGGGGGATTAATTAATTATTTTGCCTTCCCATTGCATATTTTCTCGTTCACAAAGAGCTTGGGAATTCATCCACATCCGTTAACCTTTGAAACATCATTGTCTAAATAAGTCAGAGATGCAAAATCCAATGTATTCACCAGGGCTTGTCTGTTGCAAGTAAAGGAAACCTAGATTCAAATTGCCTTAGGTAAGCTATAATTTACTGATTCCTATAACTAAAAACTCCAGCGGCAGAGAGAATATTAGGCATGGGAGGATTCAGAAACACAGACAAAGCTATGTGTACTTGAGCTGTTTTTCCCTCCAGTGCTTGGCTCTATACTCTTCTTTGCATTAGCTTCACTCTTTGTAGACTCCCTCCATGTGGTAGCTTCTGGCAATTTCAGGTCTAGTTTCTGGCAGCTTCTCTTCCTGGCAAAATTCCCACTCCCATCGGACTAACTTGGGATACTTGGCAACCTCTGACCAGCCAACTGTATGAATCAGGACTTTTCCAGCTGCAAGTGATAGGAAACCTAAATTCAAACTGCCTTAGGCCAGGTCACTTGTCCTTCTCTAAGAACGGGCAGTAGATGAGCTCCATCCCGCCAAGCAGGCCAGTGTCTACATAAATGGGCCCATCGATGGCCTCTTCCTCTAGCCACTTCCAGAAGCAATGACTTTGCAGAGGGGCCTGGAGGGGGCAATGTGGTAGAAGGGAGGTCTGGAAGCTGTGTTTACATAGCATTCTACATGAAGTTGAAAAAAAAAATCCACATCAAATAATGGAGGAGGCCTGATGGCTATTACAGGGAAATGGAGGGGACCAGCGATCCCCCAGTTACCCCTTGGTGCCGCCCCTGTAGCATATTTAACTTATGGGGGAAGCAAAGGCCTAGGAGGACTGCCAATGGCCCAGTCACACGCAAAGCAAGCCCTGCACAGGACTTGCTCTAACCACACACACCAATCATTAGTCCCCACACAGAGATCAGCTGAGTTTTCTCAAAGGCCCAGACAGAGCTGCAGAAAGTAACACCCCTGGTCAGTGCTCTCCTCCATGTAAACGTCCAAGCCTCAGTCCCAGGGGGAAGCTACATAAGACAGTTTCACAGTACCCAGCGTGGATCTTCACGCTGCAGTAAAGGTGCTTTAGCTGGTCCCTCTGATGCTGAGACTCATGCTCTTCCACAGAACGATCAAATTACTACTCATTTTGCGTTGCAGATTCTTTCAGGACCTTACTTTCTTTTCATGTGCTAACTTCAATGTTTTCAGGACCGTGCCGGTTAAAACGGTCAGGATGTGATCTGCCTTTCTCTGCATAAGACCAGTGCTCTTCTCCAGACAGATTGCACTGCCCCGGGGGGTGGGGGGCAGGGGGAGATAAGGAGAATACAACCTCGCTGTACTCTCACTGCAGAGCAGGCTCATCTGGCTTTGCTTATCGGCTCCCATCTGTCTCAGGTCTTGTTGTTGCTTTCACTCTGAGCATCTGCACTCCAAGAAGGCATGAACTTTTTCTTTCACTTCCTTTCTTCTTTGGGTGATGACCTGACATCACTCTGAGAAGAAGGCTGACAGTCGCTGAATATAAACAGTCACTGCTTTCTGGCTTAGGTACAACCGTAGGGGGTTGGCTGAGCCCCCAGGGAGTGTGGAAGTAGGAGATGCCAACCACGGAGTGAGGGTCTCAGGTACCACATGTGCTTGAGGACTCCAGCCTTTATATGCTGGAGGGCACCACCATGGAACACACACTTCCTCTGGAGCCCCCTTAACATCTACCACTCTGGGAGGACGGAAGGTGGGAGTAGGTGGCAATGGAAGTTGTCCTGAGGAAGAAGGCTATTTGGGGTGGGCGGAGGGCCGGCTCTGCTCGGTCCATGAGAGGAAAGGAGAGGCTTGAAGGAGTGGGAGGAAAAGCCCAGGGGTCAAAGACCCACCAGGAAAGAGAAACCGGTCGGCTCAGGCTGCAGTCCCAGAGGAGGGTAGGCCTCTTTCGGTGAATCACCTCCAGGCTTAAGGGCACCTACGGTTGCCAGGTGGGCTAGCGGGTGGGGACAGAGGCACCCATGTGCCTTAATCTTCTGCCCATCCTAGTCCATGGGAGCATAAAACCGGCTTGCGAGATCATTTCCTCACTGACTCAGTCGTGAAGAGTCCAAGAACGAAAATGTGCTGAAATCCTCTCTATCTGCAAAAAAGAGCTAAGAACTGAGGAAGATGGTTCAGCACAGGCTACGTTACGCTTCAAGGAGCTTTCGACCTGTCCCGCCGCCGCCTGCTCATTTCTCTCTCTCTGTTTCCGAGCCGCGGCTTCTCTCTCGGGGTGGCCGCCGGGCGGCTGTGCGCGGGGGATGCTCTTACATAACCGCTCGCCGCGTCCTGCTCTCTCGCGCGCTCCTGAGCCGCGGGGTGGGAGAGCCGGGGATCGCGATGGGGCCCCGGCTGCTGCTGCGGGGCCCGGACCGCCCCTGCGGAGAGAGGAGTGCGAGAAGCCGCAGGAGGAGGGCGCGAAAGGCGGAGGGGGAGGTGAAGGTCAGTGGGTGTGAAGCGCCAGATCCACACCCCCCTCCTCCCCTGTCCCCTCCTTCCCTTCCTCTCCGTCCCCCTCTGACGTCTGGAGCTGCTGGCAGCTCGGGCTGGTTCCGCATTCCCGACCCCTCCCCGCCGCCCAGGGGCCGCTATATAGCCGGGGCTGATGCAACTCGTCCCGCCGCCCGCCACAGCCTGCGGGAGGGACGCTCGGCGGCCGCGACGGGGGGCGCTGGCGGCGGCGGACGCTGCAGCAGCGGCGGGGCTGGCGCCGCGGCGGCTCCCGGGCCGGGACGGGCCTGGGCACCGGGCGGAGCTCGGCGGCCGGGCAGCAGCGGCGCTGAGTGGGCACGGCGCCTGCAGCCGGGCCCCGGCCCCCGGGGCGCCGCCTCCGCCTGCGGCTTTTGCACGGTGGGTGCGCGCGCGCGTGGGGGGCGCCCGGGCCGGGCGGGGTGGGGCGCGCGGGCCGCGGGCACCTGGGACGACCGCCCCCGCGCGGGCAGAGCGCGCTGAGCCCCGGAACCCGCCGTCCTGCGGGGAGGTTCACGCAGTCCCGGGACCCCGAGCTGCCCCGGCGGGGGGCGCTGCAGCCCGGGCTGTTCCCGCGAAGCGCCTGGAAGTCGGTGGCTTCTCTTTGGTTCCCGCCCTGGGGCAGGAGGCTCCGTCCATAACCCGGGCAGCCAGGGCACTCCCTCCGTCTTCCTCCCGCGCTCTCCTCCCCCGTGCTTTTGCAGAGGTGCTCTCCTAGAGCGGCGGGGAAGGCGGGTGAGTGGGAAGAAAACTGCCCGGGGAAGACAGGCCTTGGGGGTGCAGATGGAGGGTGAAAGGCCAGGGAGGTGCAGAGTTCTGGTGCTGGAGAGATGACAGCGACCTGCTGGCAAGTCCTGCCGCCCCCACCCCTCGCAGGGAGGAAGCGAGGCTCCCTGAGGACCTGGGAGAGGGCTTCTCTCCGGGCCATTGCCCTGGGGTCCTGGGCTGGGAGGGTACCTAGGGGTGGCCCGGGTCCCCTTTGCGTTCCCCGGCTCCCAAGTCAGGTTACATAAGGAGGCATGCCGGCTCTTCTAGGTAACCAGCCCCTCCTCTCCTGACCTGCCTAGTTTAGGACGCTGTCTTATGCCCCTCCCCTCAAAGGAGGCCGAGGGATTGGGCCTTATGGACTGGACCCCAGACCCTGGGAGGGGCCCGGAGATAGGGAGGCCTTGGCTCTTCTGCAGGGATGGACGGGCCTTGCGCGCGCGGCTGAAAACGGAGAGGCTGGTGGAAGGGAAATTAACTGACCCTTTGGGTCAGCTCCACTTAAAAAGGTTGCCTGACCCTGGCTCAGTGTGCGGCCCTCCCTACTGGCTTCCAGGACATCAAGCTGCGTCCTGACCACATGTACTCAGGGCAGATGAGCCTAGTCTGTCTCTCAAAAAAGGGCTTGCAGACTGTGGGCATGTATAGCCAGGTTTAAATCTTGGTGGCTCTCCCCGGGGTCTTAGTTTGCGGGGCACCAGAAATTGAAGCTTTAAACCACGATTGTGTGCCTGCTTGTCCTTTACGGCCTTAGCTGTGAAGTGTGTTCACATATCAGCTCCCCTCATCCCCACCTGCACCCACACTCCCAACCTTCCTTCCCTGAAGGTTTTTTAAAACACCTCCCATTTGCTTTCATCTTTCCAGCAAATCCGGCTTCAGCTTTGATGGCTGCCTGGTCTTCCTTTGCAGATATCTAGGGGAGAGTTTAACCGGGTATCAGGTGTGAGAGCATGGCTCTGATTAACCTGAGGACCAGGAAAGAAAAGCAAGGTCTATTCTCTTGCCTCTGGCTGGCTAAGGTTTTACCTGGGTTAAAACAGGGAGGACGGATTTCTCAAAGGCTCTTCTGTTTCCCTTCTACCTTGGCTTTGGTTCAGAGCTGCAGGCAGCTCCAGAATCTTCCTGAAGAGCTGGGTGCTGTGAGATTTGAAAGGCTCCTGGAAGATGGGGGTGTGGAGGCCTCGTTTGCAGCCACCTGCAAGGAGATGTGCTGATAAGTGGCAACGGTGTCCCCCAGGGAAGGATTTGGACCAGGGTCTCCTCGCTCACTCACTGCCTAGCTTTTGCAGCCACCCGCGTCTGTCTCCCCCACCTGTTTGCAGGCTGTGTGGGCAGCCTTGCCAACCCTTGGCAGGATGAGAAGGGCTCCGCTCTCCAGGCCTTCTTTGTCGTGGGGCTGCTGGTGTTGCAATGGGCTGTCTCTCACCAGTGTTTCTGTTTTCCAGCCCCGCTCTGGAGGAGAGGGGCCAGGGCAGCCTCTAGGCTGGCCTGCTCTGTATTCATTCAGCTCCAGCTCAACTTGAGCAATCTGAGCCAGGGCTGAGGGCAAGCAACATTCTTTTCTGCTTTTCTGCTGCAGGATGCAGTTTGCTTTTTTCCATGCGAATGAATTATATTTTGAAACTGAAATGGGAGGAAGAGAAAAATAGAGTGAGTGTGTATGAATATGTGTGTGTGCATACCTATATAGGCAGGGGGAGAGCAGCAGGCACATTATTTTTCCATTTTCCTTTAATTAAGGCTCTGTGGAGGTGTGTTTGAAAACAGAGGGTCTCCTATGCCTTTGAGGAGGGTGAGAACACTGTTTTGGCTGCGTCCCGGGCCATATGCAGCGTATGGTGGCCAATGAAACTGTGCCTGGCTCGTTCTGTTGCTTGTCTTGGCAGTCGGTTCCGTGGCTTGTGTTACCCGCTCTGGAACTTACGGGCTGCCAAGCTCCGTGTGCCTGTGTGTATGTGTGTGTGTTCACTCTTGTGCGTGTGTGTGGTTTGGCCTCTCGAAGCTCAGCAGAGACAAATGCCTCAGCGACCCAGGGTTGGAATTTTAGCCTGTGTTTCTTTACACTCATTGCTGGCTGTGGGAGGCCCGGCCAGAGCCCACCATTCTGGGGATTTTTTTTTTCTGGTCTTTTTTTTTTTTGTCCCGCTGCAGCCCATGGGACTCCAGTTGTGGAGCTTCGTTTCCAAAGCTTTAGCTGGCCAATGGCATTTTTTCAAAAGGGCCAAAGGATTGATCACACACTCTGTGTGTGTGTGTCTGTGGAGTGTTTCCTGCCATGAACTCCTGACACCAAGGACCAGAGACAGAGTGAAGAGGGAAGAAAGCATAGAGGCTTGTCGGTGGCAGTGCCTTGCCAGCTTCATCTTGCTGCTGGGGGTGAGGATTCCTGGCAGAAGCAGCTTACTGTGTATTTACTGAGCACCTACATCAGGCGGGGGAGACAGTGCTCGCAGCCTGGGCCTTGTCGAAAGCATTTCTCTGGTCTCCTGGGAAGAACCTTTCCTGGGGAGAGGTTCCGGTTTCTTCTGCACAGGGATCGTGGATACCCGTGTGCCATGGTGGTGGCTTCTCCTGACCACTGCTGCCCCCCTTTTTCATCTTAGCAAGATCTGAGGAGTGGCCCCCTCCAAGCAGGGCAAGGAGAGAGTAGGCTGAAGGACACAGAAGGTGCTGGCCCTCTGCTTCCGGAGGCAGGGGTGGAAACCCAGCCAGCTGGTGGTGCCCGCGATCTAGGCAGCTGTGTTCTGGAATGCAGGGCGGAGGAGGCCTTAGGGGAAACTGGGGCAAAGGGCAAGTGCTAGGCCTCATTTCTGCACCTTGGTGCGCAGCCCTGACCTGGCCCCTTTGTTTCTGTTCTGCAGTAACTGCCTGGATGCAGGATGCCCCTTGGGGTTAAGAGCTGGAAAGTAGGAGAGCAGAGAATCCTGGGGGGAATCCTCTTTGTGGCTGTAGGAGAAGGAGACCAGTGGTGGGTGGGAATGGCACAGAAGTGACCTTGAGGGCCCTTGCAGCAGTGGTGTCCTCCAGGGAGGGGGGGTCCTTGTGGTCGCACTGACTTCATACTCCCTGGGGGCAGGTGCTGTTCCAGGTACTTTCCAAGTTGTCACTAATTTAATGCTCTCTGCAGATTTACAGGGCAGATAATATTATTATTCCCACTTTACACCTGAGGAAAGTGAGGCACAGAGAGGTTAGGGAACTTGCCCAAGGTCACACAGCTAGTAAGGAGGAGAGCTAGTTCTCCCATTCAGATGATGTGGCTCCAAAGCTCCCACCCATAACCTGCCTCGCTCTCCTGCCTGTGGGGCGGGACAGCCGCCCGAGAGGGGTTTCTGCTGCTTGTCCTTGTTCTCAATCTGGGCGCTTCTCCGCCCTGTTGCTCCTTGCCTTCTTTCGACTCTTCTGGTCTTTTTGCAGCTGGTTGACCTACGTAATTTCAGATTTCAGGAGAGAGATCATTCCAGATATTTCCTTATCTCCAAGAACAAGTTTGCTGTTTAATTCTCCTTGATTCTTGATAGTTAGCACTGTGTTCTGTGATCACTGGCCTGGCACCTTTCTGCACTGCGCCCTGCCCCCGCCCCCCCCCCCCCCCCCATTTTCCTCCTGGGAATCTTCCCAGGCTCCAGCTCTCAAGACCTCCCACCTGCTCTGGGTGATTCCCAGGTGCTGGCTGCCAACTCCACCAGTGCCCCTGGGGCCTAACCCCCTTGCTCCTTGACCTGTCCTCACTCACCTCCACTGTTGGGAACCTTGCAGCTTTAGGCGGCCGGCACTCACTTGCACACCCCTTCCTGGCTCCGGATGCCAGCCTGGGCCAGCTGTCTGCCCGGAGGGGAGCTAACCTTCTCAAAGAGGCGCAGGAATTTTAGAGCCTCCCTTAAACTTCTGTTTCTATGGACAGAAAGTTCGTGGTGCAAATCCTCACTTTCTCTCAACCTGTCCTTTTTTTTTAATCTATCTTCGCCATTCTAGATGGAGATGCCAATGACTGAGCACTTTCTAATAAAAATCGCCCTCTGCAAGTCTGGTCCATCAAAGCAAGACTGTTATTTACTTGTGGACACTCCCTTAAACAATTATGATATCTCACAGATTTACATACAGTAAACCAGAGACAAAAATAAGAGGGAAAAACTTAAGTTACTTTCACCTTTTAAAAAAATTTCATCTAAAATGGTGTTTTATGTTAATACCTCCCAATGGGGTCCATTTTCTGGACTTGAAATGTTTTCTGGCTTTTCTTCTGCTTGTATAAGACGGCGCCCCAGCTGCTCGCCTGCGGGGTCCTGAGTAAGTCAGAACAGAGAGATACTGGTACTGGGTCATCAGGCTCTTTCCCCACGGCTCCATCCGCTCCCTGTTTCTCTGGAGCTGGCTGTCAGGGGCCTGCATCGGATTATTCATAATCTTGGGCTCAGCAACGGTTTAGGGTCCATGGTGACCTCCTGAACCCTCTCTGTCTTATTCATGCCTTGCTCGTCAGTCCCCTCTGGCTCTGTGCATCCCCAGTTTTTCTTCATTGGCTAGTTTCCAGGTTGTTCCTGGTCAGTATCCCAAATTGCCAAAGCCTTTTTGGATTCTAGGCCTGTCTTTGAGGCACAAGCTTCATTCGCCAGTTTTGGTCTTGTGCCAGTGTATAGCGTTTGCCCTTTATTTATGCATCCTGGTTACTAATGGAGACACGGAGGGTGTTTATCTTCCTTTCAGACCTCCTGGGCCCTGAAGGGAAAAAAACAAAAAAAAACAAAAAAAACCCTCTGGGTTCTTCCCCTAAAGCTTTTAGTGCCTAGTTCTTCTTTTCCTCCTAAATTGTTTCCGTATGGAACAACCAGTTTGGGAGATGATTTCAGCTCTTGTCATCTTTCCTGTCTTCCTTGAAGTGGGTGAATTCCTCTTGGCTGTTATTGGTTCCCGGCCACTACCCCCCCCCACCCCGACCCCTCCTTTTTTTATAGATCTCTAAATCACATCGGATTGTCTTATTTTTCATATCGCCAAAGTTGCCTTTCAGCCCTGGGTTGTCAGCCAGCTCTTTCCAGTTAATGAGGATCCAGTTCTGAAAGGCAGCCGCTCCGCCTCCTCCCTCTCTCCCCATCCCACCCCCAGAGCCGCTTCGGATGACTTCTCACTCCTGAACGTCAGCTGTTGTGGTTGTCTCCTAGGAATGGCATGTGTTAAGGACTTTGTGGTTTGTATGGAGCAGTTAGGGGCGCCCTTGTGGGGGAAGGAGAGAGAGGGGGATTTTTTGCTTCTGCAGAGGAAAGCCTGGAGCCCGATCCCCTGAGTGAGGTCGTTGTTGGGTTGGGTTCACAGGGAATCCGGAATGGCAGGAATGTACGGGGCTGCTGCTCCCACGGGCTGGTTACCCCTCTTGGAGGGGTGGGTTCCACAGTAGCAGATATTTTGGGATCATTTGTTAGTGTCTCATTTATACCATCTGTATGAAAATAAACAGAAGCTGCAAGCAGAGCCTATCGTTCCCGGAACAGAGTGGGGTCTGGCTTCCATCTCTCAGAGATGGCTGAGGCAGGGGAACACGCAGAAGTATGTTTCCTGGGGTCTGCCGTGGGAAGGGACAGCCTGGAGGTGGGTAACGGGCATCTGAACTGCCAGAGGGGGATCCTTACCCCACTCACTGAATTTTGCTCTGTCATGAATTTGTTATTATTTGTTTGTTCATTCACTTATTTATAATTCAGTAAGTATTTATTGATGACTGTTTTTATTGCCAGAAATTGTGCTGGGCACGGGGGTCACATGGGGCCACAACCAGCTACCCCCTGGAACCACCCCTCCACGTGCTAAGGGGCACGTGGCACATTTTGCCACACGGGAATGGGCCCTTCCGGTTCAGGGAGGTTCTGGGGCTCCTGGCCAAGGAGGGGATGCTGGCCTGCATTTTCGCTTTGCTCCATGCCTGGGGTTTGTGTTGGGTTGAAGCACCGGGCACGGAGCATTTTCCAGCCTCCCGTCTCCTGTTCGTTTTGACTTGATCAGTGAAGCATCCTTTTCGGGGTCACTGACTTCTGGTATGACCCGTTCAGGTCTAGATGGGGGATTTTGTAGGGTTTTCTCCTCTTGTGAGAAGGAAATGTGAGTTCCCTTTGTCAGTTTGGCTCAGGTAGCCTCAAGTTACCCTCCTCTGCCTGCTGTGTGTCCATAGGGCCGGACCCCGGCATCTTTTCGCCACACAGGAATGGGTCCTTATGCTGGCCCGTTTCTTGTTTTCCCCGGGGAGACGCGCAGCTCATCGCCGTGCCCTGGAGCAGCCTCCTGGTGTGGCTCGGGTTTGGGGCGGGTCACAGCACACTGACCCACCACACCTGAGATGTCTCAGGGGCCATTTCTATGTCTGGGCTCCCACCCGAGCTGCCATGGGGTTATTCGGGGAGCTTCCTAAACCTGGATCTTAATGGGAGGTGAGGTAAAAGGTCCTCTGTGGAAGACAACCATCCTCCACTGTGGGCTGGTATCTGAAAGTCTCTTGTCAGAAGGCCGTTCCTTCCGCATTAACATCTCTCAGAACCCAGGAGGGGAAACAAACTAGGGCAGGATGGGAAAGCTCTGGTTCTAAAATCCAAGGACCAGGAGTTAAGCTCTGGCTCTTTCTGGCTCTGCTGTGTGACCTTGGACAAGTCATTCAACCTCTGTGAGCTTCAGTTTCCTCACGTGCAGAATGAGGATGTGGTGTAGATAAGCACAGGGCCTCCTGTTGCTCTGAGACTGTCACATAATTGAGTGAGTCTCAGATCCTTTTCTGAGATGGCCTGGGGGCTCTGGGTGCTAAGGAGGGGGTAGAATGTGCCTCCTCGCTCACCATATTTTAGGTGGTCAACCAGCAGATGGCTGGCTGGCTGGCTGGGTGGGTGGATGGATAGGAGCCCTCGAAGGGACCAGATAAGTCTGCTTTATTGGAAGACCAGCTTTCTGCACTGTCATCTGTGCCTTGAAGAGACCATTTTTTACCCCTGAGCTCCTCCCAGTCAAGAGAGGGAGGAAATAAGAATTCTCCTGGAGTTGACCTAATTTATGTCTTTCATGCCTGAATCTTTCTTCCCTGGCAAACCTTCTGGGCCTAGGCCATCCGAATCTGTGTTTGCTTGGAGAAAGAGGAGACCCCGGAGGACTGGTCTCGTACTGGTCTTCCCTGGGAAAGCACATGCTAGTTAATTCCATCTCCTTTGCCTCCGTCTCTTCAATCATAGATACCAGAGGCACACGCCCAGCACACACACTCCCCTTTAACTCCGATTTGCTTCATTTCATATTCAGGGTGCCTTAACAAGTATGCAGAACGGGATGTGTGATTCGAGGGGCGGCACCATGCCAGACCAAAAATAGCTCCCTCTTAAACAGGTGCAAAGGTGCTTGAGATTCCATCGTTATAATCCATTCTCTTGGGAGGCAGTACATCGCAGTTTAAATCCCAGCTCTTCCAGTTTTAACTGTGTACAGCCTTTGAGCGAGTTATCTTTCTAAGCCTCAGCTTCTTCTTCTGTGTCATGGGCACTGACCCAGTCTTATGGGGCTAATGGGAGGATTATGCAATGGCAAGCACATAGCAAATGCTGAATTGATGAGCCAATGGTTGGATTAAGCCTTACCTGCGGTGCAAGGATAACCTTGATGTGAATTAATGGTTGAAGTTTCCCTCTATAACAAAATGGACTTAAGGGCAGAAGGAACCCCTGGGTTGGGAAGGGGTTCAGGGGGACATTAGTGAAAGAAGGAAGGAGGTCCTGGCAAGACGTGGGGCCTAAGCCCTGGTGGCACCTCCTGTGGCTGACAGCGCGTGTCCTGCTCTCCTCCCGCCTCCTCCAGGCTGCACTGCCGCTCCTCCTGCTATGATGCCTGGGCAGATCCCAGACCCTTCCGTGACTGCGGGCTCTCTGCCCGGGCTCGGGCCCCTGACCGGACTCCCCAGCTCGGCCCTGACTGCGGAGGAGCTGAAATACGCCAACATCCGCAGCATCGGGCCCATGATCGCCCCCTTGCACTTCCTGGAGGTGAAACTGGGCAAGAGGCCTCAACCCGTGAAGAGTGAGGTGAGTGAGCCTTGTTTTCCCAGGCAGAACCCCAGGGAAGGCTGCCTGGGTTAGAGCCCCAGGTCTAGCCCTACTCCCGCCCGCCTGCGGGGTGACCTAAGTGTTGCTGTTCAGCGTGGGCTCTGAGGACCAAGAGCATCCACATCTCCCTGTGGCTCATTAACAATGCAGAATCCCAGGCTCCACCCTAGACCTTCTGAAACAGAATCTGCATCTCAGTAAGTTCCCCTGGGGAATTCAGGGACGCGTTCAAGTTTGAGAAGTCCTGGGCCAGGGCAGGATGCTGAACGTGTCTCTGGTTCTTTGAGGGGCAAGGGAAGAGTGATTAATAACAATAAGGAATAACAACACAGGGACAGTCTCTCTGGCGCGTTGGGAGAATGGGGAGAGATGATGGAACTGTGCACACGCTTTGAAAAACATACAAGAGAATACCAATATTGGGTTATCTTTAAAAATAATCGTTAGTCCTGTCCTCGTTCTCCCAGCCTTGGCCCCTGGCTACAACCGGACGTGGGAACTGGGAGGAAGGATGGTGTGGCCTTCTTCCCAAGGAGCTGCCGGAGCTGGGCACGGCCTCAGCCACATGTGATGGTCTGCTGTAGATGCTCGCAGGGGACCCACACGTGGAGCACTCCCGCCGCGGGTCCCTGGCAGCTGCAGCTCTCTCGAGCCTCACTCGCTGCAGAGCAGCTTTTCCCTGGGGACTAGTGAGAAGCAGAAGTGCCCAGAGCAGCGGGGGTGCACATTAGTGCCGGGAATGCCCCCTGCCACTTCCCCAAGGCTGGCGATTCATCCAAAGGCCTGAGGTCCCCAGCAGGGCCATTTCTTCAGAGGCCTGACAGGATAGCTGCCCACCTGGAAGGGAGAAGGAGCCAGTGGTGGGAGGTGGAGAGGTGGCTGGGGGCAGAGATGGGGGATGGGACATGGGAAGCAGCTGAGTATCAGGCCCAGAGGAGAAGGAGCACCCACAGGCAAAGGTGCTGCTGGAAGGGGGCTCATGCTTTAGGGTGGAGCTCGGAGGCTAGACATTCTGAAGAGAGGGGCTCCTGGGTGGGGAGCAGGGTGTCTGGGTCCCGACAGCAGAGAGTTGGGCGTAGGACGCAGCTACTGCTCTGCGCCCCTCTCCCCCGAGTACCACAAACACTGCAAAGAAGGGACGCTGGGGGCTTGGCCAGGGGTGGCAAACTGGCCACTTGCATCCTGGATCTGGCTCTCAGATGTGTTTTGTTTGGCCTGCACGGTGTTTTAAAAGAAACTTGACCCAACACTTCACTTAAAAAGCTGGATTTTAATCTCCGATTAAAAAGTCGGAAGGCCTGGTTACACCATGCCCTGTCCTGGCATGGTGTCAGCTACAAGGAGGCAAAGACGCCCTCCACTGTTCTCCTCTTTCCAGTTTGCCACAGGTCCCCATGCCTCTCTATTACTTGATATTTTTTTCACACTTTTGGTTTTGCTTCTGTTACCACCAGCTGCCTTCATTTACCTTAACTGCTTGGCCCCTGCTGTAGACGTGCGTACTTCAGTCACCCGGGTTTGATGCATCATAGATGCCCACTAAAGACTGTTGATTTCAAGATGAAGGTTGATGGTAATTACGTTCTTGTGAATTGACTTTGTAGATCAGTGTGCTGTCAATAGCTCTTCCTGGCTTACTTAGAATTCTGTTTTCCTTCAGGAGGGCCCTTGCCTTGGGTTCTCTGCTGTTCACCTTCCCAGGCCCATAATTTGAAAGCACCCGTTTCTGGGTCATTCTGCAGTCTAATCGCCATTTAAAATCAGTACCTGAGCAGTGTCCCTGGGCTGCTGAGGCTGCAGCATTGATGAGAAGCTTTAGACAGGGGCTGGGTTTGCCAAAGGTTTGCCTGCGAGGTGCAGTTGCCACCTCTTCCCTCTGCAAAAGGTGTTGGAAGAGCCTTCTTTTTTTTGGCAGGGTGAGAGGGAAGGTTTTTATTTGGGTTGGGTATTTTTACATTTCACAACCTCCCCCGGCTTGGTGGCATATGCCCCATACTTGACAGTGACGCGCCGTCTTCACAGGCACCCACAGACACACCATCCAGGCCATGAGAATAACCAGCTGTTGTCAGGGCCGATTTGCATGTCCTCTCCCTCCCGTCAGCTTGCAGCATGGGTGCGGGGTGCGGGGCGGCAGGTGGGGGGCGGGCGGGGAGTAGATTGTGCTGGCGTGAAGTAAGGTCAGCCCTGCACTGGGAACTGACCTCCACATGCTTCCTAGGTCAGACTCAAGGTGGGTGGGTGGGGCTGGAGGGGTCCATTCTTAGAGCAGCGAAGTGGGTGGGGGGAGAAACTTGTTGCTGTGGGACCCTATGTCCCAAAGATGTATTTGCATATAGCAAGCTGCCTTTGGTGGACTTTCACGTAGGCATTTTAGGTTGGTAAGTTTCTTGAATTATAAAAGACACTAGCCCACAGTATTAAGCATTGAATATGTACCAGGTCCTATGCTAAGGGTTTAACATGCATGATCTTGTGTATTCCTTACCTGATCCTGGCGACTGGCTTTGTCCCCTGTCAGAGAAGAGGAATACGAGATCCAGGGAGGAGGCGGTCAAGTCACCCAGGCTCCTAGTGCTGCAAAAGCCAAAACTGGGCCCCGGGGGAATGGTGAGGCTGCTGCTGAAATAGCTATGTCTCAGCTACACTGGGCCAGGCACCAGGCACGGTGCTGTGAAATATCTCACTGGGCTTGCACAAGAACCCTTGGAAGGAATTATTGTTCCTATCGTTATTGTTATACCCACATGATGGATGAGGGTAACAAGGCTTGGAGAGGACCGAGGCCATGCAGCTGGGAAGCTCACTTTAGAGCCAAAGCTTTAACCTTATGCTGCGGCTGCCTCCCTAGCAGGCCGAGGAAGGGGGTGGGGTGGAACGAACCGGCCCCGGAACACTGGATCATTTTGATGACAGGCCCGATTAGCGCTGAGCCCGGCAGTTCTGTGGCCGCATTGTCTCCCAAGGCCCAGAGAGAGTGGGCCGAGCCGCTATGCAGGCAGCTCTGCCTGCGCAGGCTCACGGACGGTCCACTGTGCGGAGGCCAGCGGTCTCTTGGGCCAGGTGCAAACGCATGAAGCAGTTTGGTAAAAGAAAACTGGAAGAATGAAGTTAAACAATAGGTTTTGTAAATGATAAGGTGCTTTGTGTCAATGCTATTATTACGTGGTTGACACGTAATGCTAAACCGTTTGGCTGCCAGCCGCTTGCCGGCAGTCCGTTTGTCCTACAGATACTCGCTAAGCACCCACCTACTGTGTGCCAGGCACTGTGCCAGACACTGGGAGCTGAGCCATAAACAAAGTAGACAAGTTCCCCCCTGCCCTTTTTCTTGGAAATGTGTGTTGTAGTGGGGGCATCCAGAAATTAAAACAAGCAAATTAATATACAATAGAAAAGGTCAGGTAGTAGTATCGTGAAGGAAAACTAAGCAGACCAAGTGCACGGTGAGTGGCCGGACTGCTGATTTTGATGGCTGGCTAGGATCTGGGGATCTTACATTCTGCGTTATGGGGTTTTTAGAGCCCATGCTCTTTCTTGTCTTTTTCTCTTTTTAATTGACTTTATTGGGGTGACATTGGTTAATAAAATCATATAGGTTTTAGGTGTCACAATTCTATGCTACAGAGGTCCGGCAGAAGTAACACGTGCTTCGGTGTGGTGGGCAGGGTGCGTGAATGTCTCGCACAAGATGGACAGCCATTTAAACATTTCACCAGAAGTGTCACATGCTGTGCTTGAGTGAGATATTGGTATGTTACAGAACTACCTGCTTATGATTTTGCAATAGAAGATTTTGTAATGAAAAAGGGGCATTATTTGTGCTGGAGCCTGTATATATCATCTGTACACTGTACTGTGTGTTCGCCACCCCAAGTCAAGTCTCCTTCCATCACTGCTTATCCCTCCCACCCCCTCTTCTCCACCCTGACCCCCTTTTCCTCTTCTTTCTTCCCTTTTTGTTCTTCTTTCCTTCCCAGTATTCCACTCCGGCGTTCTCCAGAGCTGTCCCTCCCACACTTTTTAATCTGCAGCCCATTCCAGCTGGACTCCTCAACCAACCAGTCCCTACTGGCCTAAAGATTTTGGTCCTTCCTGGGTCATCTATGAGTGGGCTGCTGCGGCTGCAGGGGCCACACCCTCTGGGCCTGGAATGCATTTTTGGTGTGGCTGCGGGGAGCGGGGAAGGCCAGGAAGCCCCACCCTTTCACACACATATACCAACCAAGCACTTACCTAACCACCTGCTAGATGGGACCCCTTACCCTCTGTGCCACTGCAGGGCTCTAGAGAAGACTCAAGTTCAAGGGTGGTTGGACTGGATGACCTCTTAGGAAAGAGGCTGTAAACTGTCATTCTGTGAGCAGGAGTCAGCCTACAGATGAATCTCATTTGGCCCTCACACTGTGGGGTTTTTTTCCTTTCCTTTTTTTTTTTTTAATTGAATGAGTTGCTATATTTAAAAGTCAGGAAATGTGAACTTTCTGGCTTCTTTTTAAAAACCAGAGTATCTGGCCACTCTAGGTCCACACCCTTATGTGCAATGAAAGCTACAGCTGAGTAGCAGATGCTGACAGTATTAACATGTGGCCTTGATTTTACTATAGGCCCCACTATCCCCTGTTGCCTTATACCCAGCCCACTTCATCCTGTCTGTGTTACCAGCCTGCTTTTGAGTTTGGGCCCTGCGTTTAGGTCCCAAGGACAGGGAATAGGTCTTACCTTTCTTTTCACTCCTACCAGACTGTGCGATGCCTCGCATAGACTGAATGTTCAATACGTGCTTGTCGTTTTAAATATTAATTAGCTACGTCACCCTGGCAGGTCACTTAAATGCTCTCTACCTTGATTTCTGTCCCTCTCAATTCTTCCCTCCAAGCACTGTCCATTCGTTTTTCTGTTTCTGACCTTCAGTGACTTCAGGCAGAAAGAGCGAGCACAGTGAGAACCAAAACAACCACCCCCAAACCTGGCTGATC